GTTTATTCAGCTCTACACAATGAACCAGTGATGGTGCATTTTTACCAACTTCAGCCAGCCAGCTGAAGCGTCAGCACCGAGTTTGGTCAACCCTTGAACAGCTGTAGGCCAATCAAACTCAACGCTGACCAAGGTGGTATCAATTGTCATTGTCATTGTCAAAGCCCTGAAAGCATCCACCAACACTTTTCTCCCCCAAGTCTCAGATGCAAGAATAAGGCTCTGTCGGGCCACAGTTTAGGTGGCCTCAAGAAAGGAGGAGGTTCTGCAGTTCGTCCACAGCCCACGACGACCTATCAAACGAGCAGAGATGTGCTCAGTGTGAAGCACCTGGGAACCTCAGAGCCCTATGACAAAACGCCAGCTGGGGCTGCTGCTGGCCCGGCAGCGGCGGCCCTGTTAAGCGATTGGACTGGATTTGGTTGCTGTGCAAAGTGCGTGCATAAGTACTGTTTTTTTTTAGGCATGGGCCTCTTTTAATTAAAAGTCTCCCAGGGCAGATCGGGAGCCTACAGCGCCTAGCAGGCCAACGGTGTTGAGTGTCGTTTCCAGAGGAATGAGGAATGGATACCGTGAATTTTTTTGGTGCCCCAGTGACGAGCGAGTGAATGGAGACAGACACAGAGTAGCCAGTTGAATGGCCGGATCTGACTGACATCGATACTATCGTGATGGGTTTTTCTTCTTTCCAGTTGTCGAGTAAATCCATAGTTCATCGTTGAGTGAGGGAGGTTCCCCTTTCTCAACCAACACCTCAAGTTTATTTACACGTGGACGTTGTCCAATGAGTCCAATCTCTGCTCATATCTTATTCGGCTCTATGCATTCTCCCGTCCCTGTCGGTTCCCGAGATCAAGATTCCAGCTCAACTCACTAACAGCAAACGAACGAACAAAGAAACGAACAGTCTCCTCTCGTCCATCCCCCCCTGCAACTGGTTACCCGGCCGCGGCGGCACGAGCCCCTCTTCCTCTCTCACCCAATCCATTGTGAGCTTACAGGGCAGGGTGCCTACGGCTGCAGCCCACCTCTGGTCACTTTAGCGGGCTTGCACAGCTGTACTCGACCTTCAGGTTAGGTTCCCCTGCCGTCTCCTTGAACTTGGATTCTTTCACGCACCCTCCATCTCCATCTCAACCTTTTGAACGCTCCATACCACCACCAGAACTTGGGCCTCAACTTTCCTTCACTCATTCACCACCAACATCGACTGCGCATTCACTCTCGGAAACTGACCAGCAAGAAGAACAAATTTTTTCATTATATATAACTCAAGATCGGAATTTAAATCGAAACAACGCCAGCAATTTTTTGGAGGATCAGAGAGAGGTGCAGTGCAGATTTCAAACGGCGGTTGCCCCTAGCAGCAAGAGTGCAAAGAGCAGTGCGAGCGTCCGCCATGTCGTCGCCTTGGAAGAAGCAGCCTGAAGATGTTGTCGACTGTGTGCTCAAGCGTGCAGAAGTGAGCAAGGTGAGTTTTTTCTTTCATTTCGCATCTTGCGCAGACGCAATCAGTCATACTGTTGCCATGAAGTGAGTCGCTGGACTGACACTCTCTTCCCCCACTTCTAGATCGCACGCCGACTCCAGAACCGACTCGCCCTCGCCCAGTTCAAGACCAAGCATGGCTGGGAGGACCTCACCCTCGACTCCATCGAGCCCAAAGTCGAGGAGGAGATGCGACGGAAGCGACTCGCCGAGCCTGGTGACCTTCTCTCCGACTCATCCTCCAGCGCATCCGACCTCCCGTATCCCTCCCGAGCCCTCATGAGCTCCCCCCTCAAGGCGCCCCTGTTTTCGGATGCAGTAGGCTCCAGCAACGGCAGCACCGGACACCGCAAGCGCACATACTATGCCACCTTTGCCGACGTCTCTTCGAGCCCGAGCAAGCGATTCCGGGCCTCTCCAACCGCTCACAAGTCGTTTGGCGCTCACGCCTCGTGGAAGAACTCGCACCAGCTGGCCCATTCTTCTCCCATCAAGCCTCGCCGGCAGCAGCACTTTACCACGTCGGCTGGTCCAGACGTCTCCTTTTTCCAGCAGCGTCTCATGAGCCGTGAGCTGACATCACCCAACTTTGCTGCCCCCTCCGATGACGATGACGACCTCCTGCCGGTTCACTCGTTCAACCATGCCAGCATCCGGTCCTCTCCTCCTCGCACGCCACCCATGAGGTCCCGAACCCTCGGCAGCAGACGGGCCAAGGGCAACGGCAACGCCGGGACAGGCGCCAACGGTGGCAAGACGGGCGAGGAGGGCGCAGATCTACTTCTCTACCTGGCAGCCTCGCCATCACCAGCCGTAAAGACGTCCACCAGGACAAGGATGGATCCTCCTTCGACTCCCCCGCAGAAGAACAGTAAGATGGATCTGCCCTCGTCGATGATGATGACGCCCGGTGGGGGTAACCTGTTCCCAACCACCCCGAGCCAAGCGTTTGACTTTGCCGACTTTGTCAACATCACACCCAGTCCAGCACAAAAGCCCTGGAAGACGCCCGTCACCCTCACGGCGACTAGGACACCCGTCAGCGTGACCCAAAGGCGATTGACGTTTGACTAGTCACCAATCGGCAACCCCTTTGACGACGTCTTGCCCTTTGAGAGCTTGGAGGGTCTGGACGTCGACATCGACATCTGATTTCCCTCTCGTACATGATACCATGACGGCACATATTACAGCAGCACGCGCGCACGCACATTTTTCCTTTTTTAACTATTGTCTGGATTGTTTTACTACTGGCAGTTGAGGTGTACAAGGTTCTGTAACTATTTCTTTTTCTTTTCCCTCTGCGACGGCGTTATAGACTCAAACGGCATGAAAGATGGTCAGGTGGCCCCCGGCCCATTTTCGAGGCCAAGAGGTTGGTTTCTTTGTTTCACCCTCGATCGAGATGTTGATGGAGGGACTACGTGACAGGCTCAAGCCTGTAATTTTACTACACAAAGATGAAATTCGGTTCTGGTTGTGGTTGGTTCGGGAGAGTAAAAAAAGGCCCAAGGCAGATTAGATGGTAACTCGGACGGCTCATGGACAATGTGACTACTACTTTTTATTACTTGTTCACTTTTTTCATTCGACCAAAAATGAAGAACATGTTGATACTTTTTTCAGTACAGTCTGTGTAATACGTATACTCGTGCAATTGACCACCTCGTGAAACGACGCGCATCACACAATGGAACTCACCCTGTGAAAGGGGGCCACGCATGAAGTTGACGGGACCAGTCCGCGTCAGGGACGGGTTATGCGCGCGTGCGACGAGCAATTTACGCGCGCAGGTCGCAGCTGCTCCAGCGCGTAGAACGCGATTTTCTCGCGCCAGAGGGAGGGACGGGAAGACCCTGCAGGCCATTTAAAACGTCCAATCAGGTTGAGGAGAGTGTAGGCCAATGGCATGATGTCATGGTCGTGTCAGGCCACTCTGGGGATGGCATCGTGTTAGATGGTTGGACGAATTACAACAAAGGCAAGGTGGTCACTCAAGGAACCAAGTTGGAAAATCCGGTGGTTTTCTAAAGTTCAATGGCAACGCTTTCAAGCCCTTTGGGTTCAAAGCGGAACTACAGGCCGCAGATGGTGCCCGCGCTACATGATCGAGTGGTATCCCTCGCCCTACCCTTTTGTCACAGATGGTGCTCGATTATGTGGGTTGCTGGTATGACCACATCTGTTGTAACCCAATGCCTTGAGGACTTATTGCTCAGGCAGGATCAGGTGCTAAGTGAGGTATCTCTAAAAGAATGGCATCTAGCTGATTGAGGCCTCCACTGTGACCGCCGTAGAGGTTTATGCCGACCTAAGGGATGCCTTGGGAAATAGACGAATTTGGAGTTTTGATTCTGGCAGTTCTTGCTTGATATTGAACCGATTTGTCAACGCCATGGTAACTCTTTCCGAGAACCTCTCCCACCATAACCTAAGTCTCGCGATCCAAACGATCCGTCAATTCTCCAAACAGAAATATACATATTATACACCGTTTGTTCTAGGAACGTGCTCGGCGTCATCGCTACCTGGGCTTGTAGACCAGGTCTTTCGGGAAAGCCCATAGCGTCACGAATCCAGATCTTGTCGATTGGTTCTGGTGGATGGTTATGCGAAGAGTTGAAGCGAACCATGTCTTCAAAGATATCGGCCGACTCGTAATTTTCCTCCTGCATAAACTCTCGATGAGGGATGACTTGATGCCACGCCAGTAGTCGACACCAGGGATCAAACTTGGGAGGTGCCTCGGAACTCGTGTTCTTGGCTGAAAATCCGTATGCGACGAAGAATCTGTGGCTGGAGCCGTCACCAATCGCAAGAAGCCCACGCATGCCTTCCCGTAGGTCCCGTTGATCGCGGATCAAGAATGTCACGTCCTGGATGTGGCCTTCTGGTGTTCGTTCCAGGTCTGGAAGCCGTATCTGGATCGCATATGTCATGTCGTCGTGTCCTCCTATAGTTGGGTTGATCTTTATGGCGGGTGTCCGTATTAATTGTGCTTGCGAGGGGGCTTGTAAAAACAGATCGATATTCGTCATCTTGATGCTGTTTGGATTGAACCATACTTTCAGTCCCCCTTCGGAAATTTCGACATGTTCATTGCCGCCCAGCGGCGTGACCGGAGATATTCTGATCGAAGTCTTGTCATGCATCAGTGCCCTCATGAAGGCTGGCTGGGCGTCTTCTGTGGAGCTCAGCCTGCTTAGGAGGATCGCGGGCCGGGACAAGTAGTCGTCCGAATAGACACAGCCTAGGATTCCTAGCCACTGCTGCACCTGACCGCTGTGTTCGTATTGACACCAGCAAGGACACACATGCAAGTCGATGTTTAGACAGTGGTTCGTGAGCGTCATGGACAGGTATTTCGTTGATGCACCTGGACCTTCCAGATCAGCACCAAACATGAATGCACATGGCTGAGATGGAAACAGATGGCCGAATGCGTCGGCCATGTTATCCAGGTCTTTCTCTCCGATGTGATCATCCAAGTTGACGCAAAGTTTGTGTTCGCCAGCGAGGATAGATTGATCGTTGGAATTTCGGATAATCTCTTGCTGAAGGCGCCGAAATGCCTTTGTTCCCTCGCCGTATAGAAGGGGCATATTCACGTTGAATAACCCCAGGAGGGCATATGCTTGGTCTTCCACACGTTTCGTAACTCGTCTGCTTGCCCATGACATGCGCGTGGCCACGTTGAATGACGAAAGTAGCCGACGAAACGCCCGGGAACCGTTGTCCCTTACGCATGGACACCCCTCTTCGTAGACCTCGTCTTCTTCGTGGCCTCTGCAATGTCGATGGTGTTGTCCTCGCCCAAGGACTCGTCGATCAATCGCTGTTATGTCGACGATAGAGTCGAGCAGGGATAGGCGGTCCCCGATCTTTTCCCACTGACGGTCAAAGAAATGGACTTGCTGGGGGGCGATAAGTTCTTGTAGTGTCCATCCTCGAGTAAACCATTCACTTTCGTTGAAATCCTTCCTGGGAACATCAAACAAGTATGCATAACATACTTGAGAATCATGGTACCAATTAAACATGGAGTTAATGGCCTCGGAAAGTTCAGCGCTGCTGCTTTTGTCTATACAGCAGGTGTCGATCCAGATGTACCCGAAACCATCCCTCTTAGCCCGACGACAGGCTTTCTTGACCTTCTTAGCACCTCTCTTTTGAGGCCACTCCTTGGTCTGGACATCTTCAAATAGGATCTCCTCGGCTTCCCATCTGTGAGATAGTATGGCGTACATGGGTGTTTCGTCTTCCACAAAGTATTCAAGTTTTAGTGAAGTTGTATTCAAAAGACGCATGATGGTGAGATGGAGACTGTGGCAATCATGAAAGTGTTGTGGAGGTTGCCCAATGCAAAGAAGTTCAAACGATAACGACGGTTGAAGGAAAAGAGTTGGATTTGTACGAGATGAGAATATTTCAAGCCACCATAAGCGCCGACTGATGCAGAGCTACGTGGCAGTGCCAGGCTCTGAATCCGGGCGCAGCTGAATATCGACTTCCTTCATGTCCTTCTTGCCTCAACAAACCGACAGCCTGATTTGGTCATGGCATACTCGTCCTGATTCGTTCCGATCAAGCGCCGAGGCAACTACCCCGCCCGCAAGGCAGAAATGCTGCAATATGGCCGTCTTCCCTTGATCATACAGTTTGGGAGGCAAGGCTGTGTTCTATCGGTCATCTTCACTTGCTCCGAGCCTGACGAGGCATTCCGACTCGACACTACGGGCCGCCTGTCGACATCTATCCTCTGAGAAGAAGGGTGACCAATAGCAAAGCGAACCAGAGCACTCTAATAAGACCCATGTTTGTACTAAGAATGGGGGGTGGGAAAGGTAATGATCGGGTTGGTGCAAACAAAGGTTGGAGAAGGGTTTAGATCACTCGTAGGCTGTGGGATAAGCACAAGATGTAATGAGACTTGAATAAAGTTGCCATTTCTGTCAAGGAGCGCTCACACTATCCGATTTGCAATGCCCGGTAGACAATGAATAGATGCATGTCAAAATGACGGCTTGCCTAGGTGCTTCTGAGCACATAGGTTTCCCATCTGATCCTAGACCACATTAGATAATTCACTTCTTCGTCCCTTCAAACGCGCGTATAGTATAGGTAAATCCGTAGCCTTTGCGAGTTTCCTAGGGCCAAAGGTCCTCGGTTTGTAGACCATATGATGGCAATGGCATTGTGCGTCTATGCCAGCGAATTATTAGTCTGCTCAATGTTAGTCCCTATCTCAATCCTCGTCTTGGAGGTAAGCATTACCAAACCCCTCGCCCCATCCCAGTCCCCATCCAACATTATGCTCAAGAAGAACCTCGATAAAGTCCAGATTCCTCTCACGGAGCTCATTCTCAATCATGACCATGACTTCCTCCCATCGCGACTCGTCAGAGTCGTACGAGAGAAAGATGTAGATGGTTATGGGGTTCTCCTCCATCCTATCTGAAAATCCAAGTCTGAACAGACCAATGCTTACCCACTTGCGGCGGGTTACCTCGCACGAGTTGAGCTTCTCCATGACCATGTTTCTGACAGAATCCCACACTCCTCCAGCTAGCCGTGGTTCACCGGTGACGGGGCCTAGGTTCTTGAGTTGGAAACGCTCTGGTGCTATCATCTCGACGTGCAGGTCAATCCCGTCACGGCCTTGAATGACGCTATCTACATGAGTTTTGATGTCCTCGACGGCACGTGGCTACAACTCAGCACTGTCCTTCTTCTACGGCGTAGTGATGTACAGCGTGGCGATGGGTTCCCTCTGATAAGGGCGCATTTGGCGGTGCAGGAGGTCCACCTTTGTATCGTCCCCTTCCACGATACCGTAGTGCTCCAGTACTTGTTTGGCTTTGTTAATGAACGACTCTTTATTAGCTTGGAGGATATCGCGTAGGGGGTAATGAGCAGACTCCAACTCTAGATGGCGGAGAACAGGAGACGCGGCTCGGTATCTGGAGGTGTAGACTGGCGGTCGCTGTGGTTGGGACCCCATGATGAACAAGGAGAGCTATGGTCTTTAGTCTCTTTTGCTGAAAGAAAACAGGCACCTGGCTTACACTGGTTCTTTGCCTTTGTAGAATCAGTAGTTGAAGGCTCAACATAGGGGGGTGAGTCTTTGAAGCAGACACAGATGGTGATAAATCTGATGGAACAGAAAGGGACTTATTATAGGCATCCTTCTTCGGTACATGTTGCTTCTCCAATGGCTGTCCGTAACTCTATTCTCACGCTGAAGTGGTGTTTTAACCTTTCTCCCAGAGTGTTCTTCGGCCATGAGTCAATCGGCAAGTTCTTGATGTATTTTCATATGGATTGTCAGTAGTTCCCCTCAGAGATCGTTTTACTTTGTGTGATGCCTCCTTACCGAAAGTAACGGGTAACCCGTCGCAAAGGAGAGCCAAGAGTGGTGGACATGACGAACGGTTTCAACTACTGGGGTAGAAACAAACTTCCGGTGAGAGTCAGAGGGACAGTCGACGACGTAAAGGTGAGTCAAGGATAATTAAAGTCAAAGAACTGGGGGCCGTTGGCAACTTTGTTTGCCATTGTCTAAGCATTTGGCGAGAATCCTCTTCATTCCATGACAAGAAACCTGTCCACTTTATGATTAGACTTTCTCAATTCTAACTTGACTCTCCATTTATGACTTGGCAATAACGACTATAGGTATTGATGGTTCTCACCCCTGGATTCGACTGGTCTAGATTCTTAAGACACTTGGTTAAGAATCCCTATAGATGGAGCAATTATGATAACCCATGTTGATGTTATTGTCTTCCCCTCCCCATGGTTGTTTATTGCCGGATAGGACATATCTCAGGAGAAGGCCACGTACCCGTCTTCGCTATCCTGTCCATGTGTCGACCAGTGAGAGATGGAATCACGACTTAGACAAACATCCATAGATGAATACAAGAGCTGGCTTCCTATGATTGGAACAGCTTACCTGGAAACAATACGACACTGTCAGATCTTGATCAATACCAAGCCAATCAATTTGAAACACTTAAATCACCAAAGTATGCACAGACCCAGTTCGGGGCAAAACATCTGCATTAATACGCTCTATCATTAAATTCTCGACGGGGCATAGCAATGCACAAAGTTCTTCTAATGGACTTCGTCACTTCCTTCCATAGCAACATGTACAAAGAAATGTAAATGCGCCTTGGTCTATACAAAAAAGAAAACATAGTTCTGTGGTATCGTAAGCACAAACGCTGACATCCAATGCCATGCCAAATATCAACCCTGTTTTGGTATCCATCTAAATAGGTATCTTCCTCAACTTTTTCTTTTCTATGCAGCGGGCGAGTGACACCCTCCCAGAACCGTCACGCTTATCCCCACGTCGAGACAACAACGAAATGAAAACTCGCCCCGCATCGTGTGATTTGGTATGCTCAGCCAACGCTTACATTGCCTGGCCCACGCTTTGACGGCCCAGGACGCTGTCGCTCTCGCTTCGAGAGTGTCGGTAGGGCGGGTAGCCTGCTCCGCTATATCTCGAGTCGGTAGGCGGAACGGGCCACTCGTCGAGCATGCTCACTCCGCTGGTATATCGCGAGGTAAAGCTCTCGGCACGAGAGTGTGTTGTAGCCCGTTTTTGCGTGCCGTAGAAGGAGCTGGCAGCTGTGTACCTCGGCGGCATGGGGTGAATGTTGCTGACGCTGGGGACATGTCGTCCATCAAGCTCCAAGTCGAAGGGGTTGGAGTGGATGTTGTCGCGCCCCTCGCGGGCCGTGGGAAGTTGAAGGTTGGGCGATCCATTCGGCCCAGGAGGTGTAAGGTTGCGCGCCATCGAAGGGCCCCTGGATTTCCGCACATCCGACACATAGTTGGCCGGTGGTAGGTGGGTAGGAGCAAGAGGCGCAACCGAGTTCGAATCCGAGAATGGATCATCCGGGCGAGGTGGTCGTTGAGGTGGCGAACGTCCAGGAGCCAAAGGAGAGGGCATCAGAGAGTCTCGAGTAGAGGCAAAGGGGTTGGCTGGAGGCACGGCAGCCATGGTGTGGGCATCCGAAAAGGGGTTCGGGCTCGGCGTTCGTGTCATCCCACGCTCCTTCTCTGAGATCTCCTGGGCCTCAAGGTTCTCGGCGCTAGACTCCAGGATAAGTCGCGACCACCATCCTTGCTGGCCCTGGGACGAATCTCCTCGGCTGCTGGGGTAGGGTCCCACGGATGCGCTTCGGCTGTGGGACGGGTTAGAGTCGAGGAACTGCGAGTTTCCTCGGTTCATGTTGACACCAGGAGAGCCGTTCACTGAGAGTCTGATTTTATGTCCAAACTTCTTTGCGTTGGCCGTCACAGCGGCCGCAAGCTTGGTGGATCGAGGGGTAGGACCCAAGGAGTTGTTGTCAATCTCGTACTTCTCACTACCCATGCCACCAGGCGCACCTGGAGGGATGCCGAGGGGAGTCAAAAGTGTGCTCCTGCGGCGCCTCGTTGTACGTCGTCGCAAGAACCAGAAGAGGAACACCAGCATGGACAATCCCATCACAGATCCGACAACACTGCCCACAACGACGGGCGTCGCAGCAGTGTCATTGGACTCCTTGCTGATAATGCCAGCACCGTCGGTCTCTGAGGCTTGGTCATTGCCAGCCGTCGCGTCGAGTCCAATGGTTGTAATGAGACCACCAGGCAGAGTTGCCGTAGTGTACGATGGTCGGGGGTCAGTGATGCCCGTCTCGCTGTCATCAGGGGTAACCCCATCAGAAGATTGAGTCGATCCGGGAGCAGAGGCGGCAGTCGTAGTCCCCGATCTAGTCTGAAGAGTTGTGGATCGGCCAGGAGGGCCCGTGAAAGTGAAAGTCAACGACGCGGTGTCGAAGAGGAGAACCTCGGATGAGGTAGAGTCCTGCCCGCTCACCAGCCGAGCCTCTTCCGGTGTCTCGGTGGGTGCCGCTTCGGAAGTCACTTCAGGGATCGGTTCAGAAGCTTGTTCAGAAGTTGGCTCAGAGGTCGGCTCAGCAGTGGGTTCAGCAGAAGCCTCCTCAGTAGTTGCGGTCTCAATAGGGGCCGCTGTCTCGTGTGCGTCACTCGTCCCGGGCAAATCTCCTTCAACCGCAGTAGTGGGAACCGGCACACTCTCCTGACTCTCGGAGAGGATCAACGATGGGTTGATGGCGAAGAGAGGGGTATCCTGCGCGGGATCGTAAGTGGAGGATGTGGCGTTGAGTATCGCTGTTGAAGCAAAGGGCAGGGTGGCGCTCGGGTCGGCCGTGGCGCTCGTCGATGCATTAATTGGAACATGGTAAGTCACCTGTACGGTTGTTGTCTTTGGGACAACAACGGTCAGGGACTCCATGACGGTCTCAGTGATGACCACCGGGGCTCTTTCGACAAGTGAAGCGGTTTCGGTAACGTCGATATGTTGTGGTATGCCGGCATACTGCCTTCCCAGGATGAAGTTCAACACAGTCCCAGCCCGGAGGCCTAACATTATCGACCAGAAAGAATATTCGCGATGCCAGTCGCGGATTGTGAGAAAGTGCCAGAAGCCTAGTCTAGCACGAAACGAAGTTGGACAGTTGCAGGATGAGCAGAAATTGACATAGGGCCTCGATGGCCACCTCGCTCTTTAGATCTTCATATAGGTGGATGATCCTGTCACCTGTCGAGTTTCGATGCGAATGAGAATAGGTATGATGACGGCTCGACGAGAGAGTGAAAGAGCCGTAACAAGGAAAGACTTGGTTGAGTGAGAGACAGCAAGAGAAATTGTAGAGAGAAAACGCAAAACAAAGATACAAGGAGAGACAGAGACAGAGACACGGAGAAGAAACACAAACAGAGGGAGAGACAGACAAAGAGAGAGAATGAGAGAGTGAAACGTCGCTGAGGTTGACTTGAGGGGGGGATGGCACCCTAAACAACGAGCAACGCAACCCAAAGGGGGGGCTATGCCATTCCAGCGTTTTACCTGACTCCAAGTAGAACGAGAGGCGGCATCGGGCGACAAGCCGGACGGGAGCTACCACAGAAAAGCTCTCCGGGTGGCGTGGAGCAGGGGTCGACAAGCAAGGGGAGCTTTGGTGAGAGGCAAGGGGTAGTTCCCTGTCCTGCGACAGATCTGAAGCACGATGCCGTCCCCACGTTGTCGCCCATGCTTGGTTGGGACTAGTAGCCGAGGGGCCATGCCTCGAAGAGCTAGGTTAGCGATCCCAGACTCCTGGGACGGGAAGCCAGAACGTGGTCATGTTTGTCACGGAGGAGGCGAGGCGAAGCTGTAGCTGCTGCTGCTGAGGGGAAACATGTATGACGACCATGTCGATATCTGCGACGGTGGACGATATCAGAGTCCGCTCTCTGTCGGATCGAATCTCTCTGTCTCTCGTTTCTTCTTTCTAAGCGCCACAGCTGAATATGTACGCATGGTCTCGGTGATGCGACCGGGAACGGTTACGGTCATGATGGTTGGCCCCTTATACGCCCAAAGTTGTTGATGGAAAAAAGAGAGAATCAAGACCCGACCAGAACCTGAGGGAGAGACCCAGCGCCTACCGTAGCGCAGGCACCTGGAGGGTGGGGCAACCGTTATTGGTGCCTTCTCTGTTTGTGCCTGCCTTTTCCTTCTTGGGAGGCGCTGCCGTCAGCCACCTGAGACGACTGACACGCTCTAGCTGCGCGCTCACGGTAGGAACGAGGTACGTACCTGCCAGGCTGGGGATGGAGGCTTATTAACCCTTGGGCTTAATGGTTGGTGGTCCTGAGAAACACCAAAGATAGACCCGCTAGAACGACAGACGGAAAAATATCCCACGAAACAAAACACGTACCTTCTTTTCTCCCGCGGCACTAGAACAGAGGGATGACGGGCAGTTCAGTTCAGGTGGAAAAAATCCTCGTCTTCCATTTCGCTTGTCGCGTACCTGCATATCGTACCTGAAAAACACTCCTCTTTGGGACCTTGGCCGGCATTAGCATCAACAACATAAACAGTTGTGCTTCTTTATCGTCTTTCAAGACATTCACTTACTTCCGTCCTTG